CACCCTTAAGTTACATTTACATCTTAACGACTGAGTTTTGCAGAAAAGGAGTCCCCTTTAACGCGGTCAGCTACTCTTTTGGTGACGAGAATGTTTCCTTTCCCTTTTATACCTTTTTGAATATAAAGCGCATGAGGTCCTCAGATGGGGACTGTGCTCTGTACTGAGATGCAGTAAAAACGCTGAGGGCGTTTGTAGACCTTTCTGCTGAATGAAGGATGATGAAGAGGACCAGCAGTATTCAGTGTTATAGAAGAAATACACCACACGGTGGCGCCAAAGACTGAAGAAGGCGACGCTCTGTTCTTCGGTATCTAAAGGCTTTTAGATCTTTTAGTCTTTTCGGAAGTTCATCACTGCTCACTGCTGTGTCTGTTTCAGATTAAAATAACACACTTTACTACTGAAATATCACAGCTCGTAAATGGCCAGAATGCATCTAATGGGAGATGGAGTTAAACCTATTTCTGTTTGGGCGAATTCGCCATCTGAATTGGCCGGTTTCATGCAGATCTGAGGCGGAAGATCTCTTTAAGTTGAGGATCGACTCCGGAGTGCAGATCTGAAATGCAGTCGTTGCATGTTACCAGATTCTGAAACATTCGTACACAGCTGACATTTCGTCACACATTTCGAGTGTCTGTTTAAGAGGTCAATTCATTACGGTTATGCTCAGTCCTGTGAACTAGTGTCAAATCTACATCATTATAGCCTAATATACACATTAGAAAAGACCTTTCTTCGATACTAATACTACTAATAATGATGATTCGGTTATTCGTAGTAATATTAATGAATCACCACCACCATTATTATTATTATTATTATTATTATTATTATTATTATCGTGATGTTTGTTTATTTCGCCGGATGGATGTTTACCTCTCCTGAATATTGTGTATATTTGTTAATGTTTATTCCTGATAAAGGTTCATTTAACGCCCACTAACTTGTTTAATTCGTTCACATTGGTTTAAGAGTTTCGTTTTTCAGAGAAATTATATTTATATTGTTTTTCGTATAGACTGAATATACTGATTGTGACTCCACACTCATCGCGGTGTCTGAATAAATATTCTGAAGTGAATTGTGAAATATGTCTCAGGTCTCCGCGCTGTATGGACTGTTCTGTAGTAACGATGTAGTCTTGTTTTTGCCTGTTTCTTTAATACTGAGAATTAAGTGCAGGTAAAACAAAATGAATTGACAGTCGACTTAAATTTGAAATTACTTTGAACGAATTACAGCGCGCTTAATCTGTTAGCAAACTCGAGATGCGCTACACCCCTGAATACGAACATTTTTGTACCACGATTTTTTTTTCTTTCTACGAAGCACATAAAATCGAAATAACGATAGAGACCTTTTCTGGACTTTGATTCTGATTCGCCAATTGGAAAGCAGATTTTTGTTTTTGAGCAATACTGATGAAATCGAATCGATTTTTTTCTAAAACGAGTCCCATTCGTTTAAAAGTATCTAACGTATCTCCCACATACAGGCCTACATAGTTACACTTTCACCTGAATCTAAAGCGTTTAAGCTCGTTATTTTACTACACTTTGACGGCGGTTGCCCGTCTCTGTCCTGCAGATCAGCCTGACCGTCTATTACACTTCATTCAGCTCAGTGGTCATCGGCCTCCATAAAGCCCTTTACTAGGTGAGTCAGGTGCGCGTGAGCGCATGGAGAGTCCGCGCGTGCAGTTTTCCCTGTGTCCACTAGGCGGCGCCGGTACTGCATTGAAACCTCAAACCTGCGTGAACTCAATCGCGCACTGACAGGTTTTTGAGCTGCAGCGTTTCAGCAGACCGATGTCTGTTTATTTAAAGCGTGTGATGAACATTTCACATTTATGCTATCGATTCCTCTAAACAACTTCAAAATAGCAACAAACAGAGCGGGGTTTTTTCTCTTCGCGAGCGAGCATTGCAGTCTAAACATCGCGGGTATTCATGGCTGATAAACGGCGCTTCTGATCAGCATATCTCTCTCACTTAAACAGAAACTGGATTACATTCAGAGACAGGCCTGAAATTACAATGCAATCGTTTATACAGTTGTCCTGTTTTACTGTAAAATAACAATAGCCCCTGACTCAGTGTTGTCGCGATGGCACACATTAGCTCACCCTACAAAACACAGCTATAACTCTTTACAGCAGGCTTATTAGAAATAAGAAATCTGCTGTAGTCTATTTAAATACAGCCGAACTAAATGTAGTGAGATTACACCTGTGCTAATAACATTCACCTGCAATCTCCCTGAAGATACTGCAGATTATATACAGTATATAATATATGTGCAGTATTTTATTAGAAAATATCTTGCAGGAATATTTAGAAACGCATCACAATTTCCATGATAATAATAATAATAATAATAAGAAGAAGAAGAATAAGAAGAAGAAGAAGAAGAATTAAATCCAAACGTTTATTTTTACAGGCTCTAGATCGGTGGGTTAAAATGTTGGCTCGTTTGGAGTCTGTTTGAGCGCACAAGCCCGATTCAGGTAGAAGAGGACGATGGACTGAACGCGTTTTCAGATCGCAGTAAATTACTTGGACGTGTTTAATACAAAAACTAAAACTGGACGGGACTAAAGGCGATCAGTCCTGCTCAGGAAATCACATTTCACAGCTTCATTTTACAGAAGAGAACAGACAGACATTTCTTCAGCTTATTTATTATTATGTATCTTATTATTATCTATCCAGTCGAGTGTCTTTTTTTGGTTTGAAGTAAAAATGATAAAATCAATATCTATCTAAAGCAACATGTGTGCGCAAAGCGGTCATGATTGTTTTACATTTATGTATTGGCCAAAGTTCAAGGGTCAAAGAAAGCTGATCTGTGTCTATTTTGAGGGAGTGCTGATCTATTTTGATTATGTTACACGCTCTGGTGGACTCAGTTACACAAAGAAAAGTGGAGGAAAAGAATTCAGACAGATCCGTAGAGTTTTAATAAACGCGCATTATTGAGGGGTGAAAATGTCAATTCGGAGATATTTGATGATCAAAATGCTGATGCTAAAGCTTCTATTTCTGTCTTAATAAAGTAATCTGGGCTGTTTGAAGAGGCATCACAGGCCACAAAGCAGAATGAGTTTAGAGATTAAACTGGCAGCCTAGAACAGACACTCACTACTTACTCACATACATACAACAACAGTAATAATACCACCAATACTAATATTAATACTGCTGATAAGAATAATAATTATTATTATAATAATGAAGCATTATGTTTGATAATTTAATCATTATTATTATTAGTAGTAGTAGTAGTAGTAGTCGTAGTAGTACTACTATTGGTAGTAATAGCTATACGGTGATTGGTAGTCGAGTTTAATGCTGATCTGTTTTTACATCAAATCCATTTTTTCTCTGTCCAACAGGTGAAATAATACATCATTGGAGCTTCAGAGTGTCGCGCCCTTTTATTATTTGCAGGTGTAGTATAATACAAACTAATGGTGCATGTTTCCAAATTTTAGATGTAATGGGTTTTAGTGGCACTGCAGCCTCAGTTTAGTGTTTATAAATCTTGTGTGTGTGTGTGTATGTGTGTGTGTGTGTGTGTGTGCGTGTGCTCTCCAGTTTGGTTACTCCGCTGAGGTTTGTTTGTTTGTGCGCGCGCTTCGTCTGTGTGGACAATTTGCTGGCGCGCGTGAATATGTGTGTGTATGTGTGTCTGTTGTTCTTGCAGTGAAACCCCCTGCAACGTCTTAAACACACACACACACACACACAGACATACACACACACACCTATGAGAGGCGTTTCATTTGGACTTTAAGCGAAAACATGACGCACAACATGCATTTAGCCGTTAGGTGTGTAACAGGTGTGCTGTGTGTAGGTGAGTCCGTTTTATTGATTTATTTGCTTTAAAATTAAGTGAATCTTATTTATCACTGAATCAGGAAACTTAAACAACTACAGGTGTCATCTGAAATTACAGGATGACAGTCTGTATGAAACGCCTTCACTGGGCTGCATATCAGACTCTGAGAGAAAAGCTCTCCGGTGAGTTTGCTCTTCAAAAAGAGCTCGGAACGACTTGAAGGAGTAAAATGAACAGAGGCGGATTTTTTTTTTTCATGGTCACAACAAAAGTGCTGGATTTCGGCCTCCTGGTGTTCATTTATTCACCAGTTATAACACCTGCAACCCCCTCTTTTCTAACTTTACACAGCTACCGCTCACATTAACGCTAACAATAAACAATTATTAACCTATAAGCTACATTATAGTTTTCCCTCTTATCACTGTTAGAGTTATTATAGCCTGTTTAACAGCTTTGACGTATTTACCGCTATCAGTGGCATTTTTCAGCGTTATTGGAGAGGCTGATTTAGTAGTAACGCGGTTATTACAGTGGCATTTACACAAACTCTATAAATCACCACAGTAGCTACGCCGGTGTTTGGTGGAAACACGCGTTGATGTCAAACAGAGATAAAAGATTTCAGAGGCTAAAGCTAAATGCTACTCATAACAGACACGCACATGATTCACATGTTGACCAACGTCAAATCTCCTTCACTTCTCGCAACATTTCAGCTTCGATAAAAAAAACTGCGTGAAAAATAAAAAAACTACAAAACTATCAGAGTGAAAGTTGTAAAACAGGGCTACACGTTCACGCCGCCTTAGAAAATAACGTCCGTAACAGGAAGTACTACCTCAGTTCGGTGGGATTTAGCTTTGCAGCCCTTTTGCCCCTCACCTCACTCCTCCCCCCACCACCCCCTCCCCAGCGCGGTATGAAAACAAACGTGAAGGCGGATGTGGGTTTGTTGAAAAGCGCTCTAAAAATTATCAAAAAAAGTGAAAGAAATGGCGGTTTCTGCTCTTTATTTTCTTGGTGGGAGCTCACCGTTCCCCGCGCGCGCGCGCGCCCGTGCGGCGTCCTCACGCGAGCGCGCGTGCGTGCTGGCGCGCGGCCGCTAAGAGCCGCTCTCTGATTGGCTGCGAGGAGGGAGGACGCTTTAATACTTATTGCGGCCGTGGTTGGCTGCATCCCGTAAAGGTTCAACTCGATTTTTTTCTAGCTTTAGTGTCTGTGGCTCCGTAATTAATTGTAGCTAGCTGTCTCTTATCGACGCGTTTTTCAAGGAACATGAAATAGTTTGTTGGACCGTGTTTGTGTGCGTGTGTGTGTGTATGTGTGTGCGCGCGGTGTTTCTGGGTTGATTTTCCCCCCTTTTCCCCTGTCGAACGGAGTTGCCGGCGTTTAAGAGATTTTGAGATCCAACTGTGCTGCTGCTGGTTGTTGCTGTTCTACCCGTTTTTGCGTGTGATGTTGGATATGGGAGAGCGGAAAGAAGTGAAAATGATTCCCAAATCGTCGTTCAGCATAAACAGCCTGGTTCCTGAAGCCGTCCAGAGCGACAACCAACACCGCGCCGAGGAAGAGGAGAAGATCCCTCTGTCCGGAGCGCAGGACGCCAAGCAGGAGAGCGTGTGTGCTAAAAGTGACAGCTCGGACGCGACCTGCGCGGAGGACAAGGACAAGCAGGAAGAGAAGAAGGACTTGAAGGAGGGCGAGGGCGGAGGGAAAGACGGGGAGAAGAAGAACGGCAAGTACGAGAAGCCGCCGTTCAGCTACAACGCGCTCATCATGATGGCCATCCGGCAGAGTCCGGAGAAGCGGCTCACGCTCAACGGCATCTACGAGTTCATCATGAAAAACTTTCCGTACTACCGGGAGAACAAGCAGGGCTGGCAAAACTCCATCCGCCACAACCTGAGCCTCAACAAATGCTTCGTCAAAGTGCCGCGGCACTACGACGACCCGGGCAAGGGCAACTACTGGATGCTCGACCCGTCCAGCGACGACGTGTTCATCGGTGGGACGACGGGCAAACTCCGCCGGAGGTCTACCACGTCGCGGGCCAAGCTGGCGTTCAAGCGGGGCGCGCGGCTCACGTCCACCGGCCTCACGTTCATGGACCGGGCCGGTTCCCTCTACTGGCCAATGTCCCCCTTCCTCTCCCTGCACCACCCGAGGGCGAGCAGCGCGCTCAGTTACAACGGCACGTCCTCGGCGTACCCCAGCCACCCCATGTCCTACAGCACCATGCTGACCCAGAACAGCCTGAGCAACAACCACTCGTTCCCAGCCTCGAACGGCCTGGACAGACTCGTGAACGGGGAGCTGCCGTACGCCACGCACCACCTGACAGCGGCCGCGTTGGCCGCCTCTGTTCCCTGCGGCCTGTCGGTGCCCTGCTCCGGGACCTACTCGCTCAACCCGTGCTCGGTGAACCTGCTGGCCGGACAGACTGGCTACTTCTTCCCGCACGTGCCGCACCCGTCCATGAGCTCTCAGTCCGGCGGGGCGATGAGCTCCCGGGCTGCCTCGTCCTCCTCGCCCCAAGCGGCCTCCTCTCTGCCGTGTGACTCTTTACGGCCTTCGCTACCGAGTTTCTCCTCGGGACTGTCCGCCGGACTCTCTGACTACTTCACACATCAAAACCAAGGGTCAACGTCAAACCCACTTATACACTAACTAAACATCCACAGGAGCAGACTGTAAGTGAACATTCTGCACCCATTCACACTGTAATATATATATAAATATATATTAAAAAAGGAAAAAAAATACTGGGAGAGAAAGGAACGTGCAAGCAGCCGAACTCCAGGTATTTTGTATTAAATTCTTCAATTCTTCTCCTTTATTTCTGTACACGAACGTCAAGTGTCGAGGAACTGTTTTTTTATGATTTCCACTGTCAGCAACGTGCAATGTGACAAGATTTTAAAAAAAAATGAGGGTAAAGAGTAGCGCTTTTTCTTTCTTCTTTTTTTTTGAAAGGCAGTACAAATTTTACATTAGAATGTGTATTTAAATAGTGGTTACAGATTTGTCTAATTTTAATTGTTAAAAAATATCTAAACCATCGTATCGACACCACCAGTCGTCATGTTTGCAGTATTATCACGTATCATGAGCGCACTGGTGGAGTATGATTTTACAAATTAACACAACAATTTTTTTATTATTTTTTCTTTTTTTTCTTTTTTTTATATAAATAAATGTGCTCTATAAGTGCAAAATACCCGTTCAAATTCATGGCTCCTTGTTATTTTGTCAGTTTCACAGGCTACTATTAATGGAATAAATGCATTCACAATGCGTTATTTTATGCATTTTTTAAGTACAGTTTCTTTATAGACCAAAGAATGGGTATAAAACTACATTTTTTCAGTATTCACCACCTGACGGACGGTTTTGAAGGGAACAGACTGAATGCTTTTAGCTTGTGTTTTTGCATATTTAGGCTCCTGTATGTGGTCACCACCAGGTCCTATTCCTTTTTTTGTAATTAGTGAAATGTCAATTCCTGTTGTAATTATAGGTTAACTTTGCGAAGTGTAACCGTGTTGAGTAAATGCCTCATAAAAAATATTGAGTGAATGTTTATGTCGTCTTTAAATTCCATGGTTGTGATTTTGTGCTCTTATGCCCGTGTTTGTCGCTTAAACTGTTAACCGAACAAAATAAAAAGAATAGGTTTACGTTCATTTACCCGCAACATTTTGTCTTCTTTGCAGAACCCCAGAATATTTTAGCTGCATTTAAATATGGCTTTGTTGCTTTGCTGCAGTGCTTTTGACATTTAAGCGACAGTTTGCGGGTATGGCGCTGGATTCGGCCCTGGTTTTGGTGAAGGCCTACCAAAATCTCCCAATTTGGAAATTTGGCCGCCAAAAATGCGTCTTTTGACACTTTCTGAAATTTCAGAGGAGAAAAAAAATATGCAATGTGTTTAATTATCATAGGCTACTTACTGTTAGGATGACCGCAGAGAGTTGCTGTTGGCCTGTTCGCCAATTTCTGCCAAACTCTCCCAAATTCTCCTGCGATTACTTCTTTGGCGTATTTTTTTTATTTATTTATTTATTTATTTATTTATGCGCCGTATTTTTTATGCATTATTATATCTTCAGTTCCTCTCTGGCTTGGCCCAGTGGTAACAATCTCTACCGTGTCCTGCTTTCTCCTAGACAATGGAGTCGTTAGTTGCAATGAAACGGAGCAAGAATCGAGCTTTCAGCACTTTTAAGTCCAGTAATTTGTTCATTTCTTAAAGAGGCATCGTGTTAAATGTGGCCGGCTGTAATGCAATAACCTCTTTGCTTTTCACAAAAGGCCAGTGGAACTCAATATCTCCTTGCAAGATGTTATCACTCAAATGTTAAACGGGGTGACCACTCAGAAGAACAAAGACTGAGGGAGAAGGGGTTAAATTTTGGAGGCACAATATTTTCTGAATGGCAGAAAAAGCGTCATGACCGTTTAGAAAGGAATTAAACTCACAGTTGTGAATTACAACCAGGCCTGTAGTCTTCATTGTAGACAAGCTACATAGCTTCATTACCTAATCATTACTGCTTTATCATTATTTATGCTGGTCAACACTTAAACGTAGAAATTACCAATTAAAAAACAATTAAAAAATAAAACAAAAAAACATTAAAATGGGAAAAAATGTTTTTATCCAGAATTCAAACTGAGTTTAAAATGCAGATAGGCAGAGCGGGTGGCTACTTTATTTTTGTACATATGCTGTATTGGAAACTTATTAGCTGCTGTTATTGCCTTTTATTTATTTATGAATTGTTATTTATTTTTGACCTGTGCTGATTTAGGCTGTTCCTGTGCCCTGGCTGATGCGTGCATATTGGTATTAGCTACAGTGTTGCTGTGTGCGTTAGTGGTGGCAGAAAAAAAAGAAAAAAAATGACAGCACCTGAAACTGATGAGCCGTTTTCATACAGGTTCCTCTCTGAGTTAATGCCTACAGAGCAGTGATGTCTGGACTGTGTGCTCTGCGTTTTAATTAGCCTCTGCCTCCCCGTCTGCAGCCATAAGCAATCAATGTACCTGAACCACAGACGAGGCCTCGGATCACACTGAGGACAATAAAGCAGCGGTTCAGATTTGCGATTGAGTTGTGGGGCCTGTAGTAGTGTGGAGCATGGGCAAGGCTTATACAGTGCTAATGAAGACATGTAGGTGAGACCATGCTTATTATTATTATTATTATTATTATTATTATTATTATGCAGTAGGCTTGGCTGAAGGCGTGGTTTTCTTTTCTTCCCTCGAGGCACAGGGAAAGCGGGGTGGCCACTCTGGTCATACTGTCGCTATACAGGCACCAGACAGTCCGATAAAGTCACAAATAAAATGTAATAGCGGGAGTATTTGGTGCTTGCTGCTTGCCTTCGTGAATTAAATAAGATCCATTCATTGCTTTTTGTTTTTTTATTTTAGTGACAAAAGCTGTTCTGGCTCTACACTGTATTGTCCTCAACAATATTAGCTGAGACGTGTGGAGTGATAGACGCTTCACTAACATCTGTTTTATAATTATAGGTTGATAATAAATACTATCTGATATTTAATAACCTTAATTGTTTTGATGCAGTGAATTGTCAGACTACACTATATAAAGGCTGTGTGTGAGAGTGCTTTCTAAGAACACGTATTGATTTGAAAGCTAATAACAAATGCGAATTAGGCGTGTACTCTGACCTAAATCATACTTTATATTCTTTTGAAAAAGTTATTTAACAATCTGTTGATTATTATTATTATTATTATTATTATTGTAGCAATAGTATTTTTTTTGCCATTGTCCTTTGGTCATCATAACCTGTGAGTAAATGCACTTAGATGGTTATTTAAAAGGTATTATTTAAAATGTACAAAACTTTAACTGAAATGAGGCTCATGTAGTATTGACATTGGTTGGTTGTAGTCAATATGAACTGTTGTGTGTAGCTGAGGCCTGCTGTGCTCATATTTACCCCAGTCCTTCTCCAACATTTACCTTCTGTTTATCACTTACATTTAACTGACAGGTATAAAGTTCACGGAAAGATCTAAATTTTTTAATTTACGCAACTATAAAAGACATAAACTATAAACCATAACATTTCTCTTCCCCTAGTACATAATTACCTAAAAGCTTTCATCCTCAAAGGGCAAAAAAGCTGTAATGTAAAACGATCAGCTCCACAGAGGGATATATATATATCAGAGCCGTTTATCCAAGTTGTAAACCATTGAAATCCCTCTAAATGGTAAATGGCCGTTTCCTCTCTCAGTGTAATATGAGCTGGGCAGAGTGAGGGCGCTAGAATAACGCAGAACTGCACACAGACACCTCTCACAGCACAGCGCACAAAACAGCCAGCATAGTTACTCTTACTCTCAGGATATATATATATATATATATATATATATATATATATATATATATATATATATATATATGCAAAAAAAAAACAAAACAAAAATGAACGAATGTGGATTATAATGGATATGGACACCTGCTTTTAGCGATGCTGATCCCTTTAACAGGGATTGATATGAAAAGCGTTTTAGTAATAATATTAAAAATACAATAATAATAATAATAATAATAATAATAATAATAATAATAATACCGTTAAAATGCTGTTTTGTGTTCTTGTATTGTTGTTGTTGTGCACTTCGTATTAAATATTGTACAATAATAGGTAGCCTTTAATATTCCTGCTGCGGCCAGGATAATATCAGTAATGATGAGAGATGCATGAAGGGTTTCGTTACAAAGCGCATTATAGACACTTTTGAACATGTGCTTTTTTGATATCCGTTGTTGGAAGTGAGCTTTACACTTTGCAAGAAATATCACTGCTATGTTACGATTAATACATTCTTTATTAGAGAAATGAAGACGCTGTTATTCTGTTATACTGTTTATATCCAAAATGATTACAAACGGCCTATAGAGCGTTTTGGAATGAAGCTGTTCATGTTATAATGGTTTTATTAAGGACAATTGGTGATAAATGTTTTGTAACAAAGTTATAACGTATGTCGGACAAAATTTGGTTTATTGCGCATGAATAATTTTATGGAACATATTTCCACGCTCGACAGCTGATCGTAAACCACATTTAAAGTGCAGATCTGCTGTGAGCTGTGTGTACAAAGACAGGATGAGTGTATCGGTTCCTCTACGCCTCTAGCTGTGCTGATAGATCCGCTGTTCTGGTCAGTCTGGAGCAACAGGCTGCTGTTGAGCTGTGATGCGGAGTCTGAGTGCAGTATTAAAGCAGTTTCTTGTGAGCGGTTTGGAAAACACGCGACAGGACGTGAATAATCGTTTTAATGAGAGTGTGCAAAGCATCGACCTGTCGGGTTAAACAAACAATTTGTAGCCTGACGAAGTGGGATTGTTTAAGTGCAAAGTGGTGTCATTCTCATTCAGACCCTCTCACTGAGCCCACAGATCTCATACATACACACACACACACACACACACACACACACCCGGACACTTCCTCATCTCTTAAAAATAATATTACTCTCAACACAACTCCTCAGTGTTAGTTTTGGCACCCACCCGAGAGACAGTGCATTTATTAAATCACTTTATTAGGCCTGTTGGTTTGTATCTACATTTAGGCTTTGATTACACCTGCAGTATGATTTAAGATGTTTGCGTGATGAGAGCAGACATCAGACTGGCCGTGCTGTTTTTTTGTTGAGCTGTTTGTAGAAAACATAATAATCACAGTCTTCCCTCAGAGTGGCCTGATCTAACGCTCTAGG